TCTCAGGAGCCCCCCTGTGTTTGGGAGGGCACTGAGGCCTGCAGGGAGAGGGACAGGGGCCCGTGTGCAGGGAGTGGGACAGCAGCCCATGTCCCAGGCTCCCCTCAGCCTCCAGCACACTCTGTCCAGCAACTTTCCATGACAGGAAACATCTGCTGGGAGGCAGGGCCGGGTTACTGCCGGGCATTGGCCGCCGGCGTTCCCAGCTCCACTCACTGCAGCCATGGGGAGGCATTTTGGGATCTTCCCTGCCCGCCCCTTCCATGAGAAGCACACAGACTGAGGCTGCCTTTGAGAGCAGAGCCTGAGGCACTGAGGAGGCAGAATTGCTGCTTTTTCTGCTGCCACAGAGGGGAGAGCTGAGCTGGAGCTGTTGGAGCCGCGTGAGTTGGAGCCAGAGCTGTTTGGGGTCGGGTCTGGCACTCCTGGACATTTGGGGGCTTGTGCTGCCCTGCTCACACCTGCCAGGGCTCCTGCAGGGGATGCCCACAGCGAGAAACTGCTGAGACTGCAGCAGGAGAGCACAGAGGGTGCCCAGCAGCACAACCACCCCCATGAGCCTCTTTGGGAAAAGTGCTCTGGAGGGGAAATCCTCGCTGGGATCCTCAGGGGCTGCCTGGGACGAGCTGGATGTGGGCAGAAGAGCAGGGGAAGGCACCTAAACCCACCTGGACTCCTGCCAGGCTGCACCTCTGAGCTTTGGATGTGGGCAGGAGAGCAAGGGAAGGCACCTAAACTGCTGTCAGGCTGCTCCTCTCTCTGCTTTGGACGAGCTGGATGTGGGCAGGAGAGCAGGAGAAGGCACCTAAATTGACCTGAACTCCTCACGCTGCACCTCCTTGGGCTTTGGATTACCTGGATGTGAGCAGGAGAGCAGAGAAAGGCACCTAAACCCACCTGAACTCCTGCCAGGCTGCACCTCTGGGCTTTGGATTACCTGGATGTGGGCAGGAAAGTGAAGGAAGGCACCTAAACTGACCTAAACTCCTGAAAGGCTGCTCCTCTGGGCTTTGGATGAGCTGGATGTGAGCAGGGGAAGGCACCTAAACCCACCTGGACTCCTCAGGCTGCACCTCTCTGTGCTTTGGACGAGCTGGATGTGGGCAGGACAGCAGAGGAAGGCACCTAACTCCACCTGGACTTCTGCCAGGCTGCATTTCTGAGCTTTGGATGTGGGCAGGAGAGCAGGGGAAGGCACCTAAACCCATCTGAACTCCTCAGGCTGCACCTCTGTGTGCTTTGGATTACCTGGATGTTGGCAGGAGAGCAGGGGAAGGCGCCTAAACCCACCTGGACTCCTGCCAGGCTGCACCTCTGGGCTTTGGACATAAAGAAGGAGCAGAAGGAGCAGGAAGAGCAGAGTTGCAGTGGAGCTGGGCAGCTGAGCAGGGCTGAGGGAAGGAGCTGATGGATTCCCTGCTGGAGTGTGGCTCCCTCTGGGATCTTTGCCTGGACCAAGAGCTGCCCTGGTGGGACCTGGAGGGATTTATGGACTTCTCTGGAAGAAATGCCAGCCCTGGACCTGATGGGATCCCAGCTGTGAGTGTCTGAAGTGAGCTGGCTGTGCCCTGGCAGGGCAGAGCCTCTGCCAGGACAGGTTTGAGCTGCTGAGCCCCAAGCTCAGCCCTGCAGGGATTACAATCCCCTTTCCCCACTCCGTCCCCATCCTCTCTGCTTGTTCCTGGAAATCTTGGCCTTGGACTCTTGCTGGAGCCCATCTCACACCAAGATCTTTTCCAGATGTTCAGGCTGGGAGTTTGGGAAGTACAATTGAAGTTTCTGTCATCAGCTGGCTGGCAGGTTTTGCTCAGAGTGAGATCCCTTCCTGTGGGCCCTCTGCTCCTGTTGGAATATTCTGTGTCTAGTTCTGAGCTGCTGTGAGGAACAGGGAACGCTTTTGGGGGCGAGGGGTTGTCTGTGATTTGACAACCAGCATCAAATCTGCTGCGATCTGACAGCTTTTGGCAGAGCTGTGAGGCTGATTCTAAATAAACTCTGTATTCCTCCCACCCCTGTGGCTCCACCACCATTCTTAAGCAGAAATTGCCTTCTCTAAATTCAGAATTTTGGGACCCTTCAGTGCTGGAACACTCCCACATTTCTGCCCTAGGAGATCAGTGCCTCTGGATTGTTGGATAAAGAAGGAAAATGAGGCTCCTTCTCTGGATTTGTGGGAAAAGGAGCATTGCAGATCCTCTGGAGATGTGGATTTGAAGGGGTTGTGGCTGTGGGGAGCAGCTGGTACAGCGTGGAGGAGCTGTGGGCTGTCACCCCATAAACCCCTGATGTCCCTCCAGCCCTGTGGTCCCTGAGCCCTCCCTGAGGCCAGGACACAGAACAGGGGCAGGGCAGGGCTCAGTGCCTGGGATATCTGGGAGAGCCCTTTGGGAGTGAGGTGTTCTCACTATCCCAGCACGTGGCTGTGTTTGGTGGGGAGAGGGGTGGGAATGCGGAATCCTGAGCCCTCAGTGACAGTGCTTACTCAAGCTCCTCTGGCAGGGCCCAATTCCCCATTTTCTGAGGCAAACCCTCATTTTTTAGGGTGAATTCCCCATTTTCTGAGTTGAATTACCCCTTTTCTGGGGTAAGTCCTCCATTTTCCATGCTAAATCAGCCGTTTTCTGGGGTAAATCTTTTTTCTGTGCTGAATCCTGTTTTCTGTGGTGAATGCCCTGTTTTCTGTGGTGAATGCCCTGTTTTCTGTGGTGAATCCCTCATTTTGGGTGGTAAATCGCCTATTTTCTGTGCTGAATTCCTCATTTTATGTTCTGAACCCCCCATTTTCTGGGGCAAATCGCCATTTTCCTGGAGTAGCTGCCCCATTGCTGGTTTTTGGCAATTGTTTGGCAGGTGAGTGCTGCAAGCAGAGCACACACCCTACCTTGGTCAGCATGCAGGGACAGAGAGAACTCCTGTGCAGGGACAGGGAACTCTGCAGGCACAGAGAACTCCTGAGCAGGCAGGGCTGCAGCCTTTCCAGGATTTTTCCCTTTCCAGCCCGGATTGCTTTCCCAAGCCACGTTCTCCTCTTCCTCTCCCTCCCTGCATAAAGCCCGAACCCTCCCATCTCTGGGCTGTGATGGGAGCTCCTCAGTGCCTCTGCCCCCCTTCTCCTGCTGTCCCTGAGGTGTCCCTGCTGTCCCCAGCCCGTGTCCCAGCTGCCCCCTGTCCTCACAGCCCCTTTTTCCCTGCAGGTGCTGAGCCCCACGTACAAGCAGCGCAATGAGGATTTCAGGAAACTCTTCAAGCAGCTCCCGGACACTGAGCGCCTCATCGTGGGTAAGGGCCAGCCCCAGGGGGCTCTGGGGAGGGGAACAGCACAAACCCAGCCAGGTTTTCATTCTTAAATTCATCCAGAAATACCAGGGCTTTGTGTTCAAAATGGTGACAGAGTCCTGGAACTTTATTCCAATAAAAAAATATTCCAATAAACTCCGAGCGCCTCATCGTGGGTAAGGGCCAGCCCCAGGGGGCTCTGGGGAGGGGAACAGCAAAAATCCAGCCAGGTTTTCATTCTTAAATTCATCCTCAGTCACCTGGGGTTGGTGTCCAAAAAGCTGACAGAGTCCTGGAACTTTATTTCAATAAAGGGGCTCTGGGGAGGAGAGCAGCACAAATCCAGCTAAGTTTTCATTCTTAAATTCATCCACTAACACCTGGGGTTGATGCCCAAAACAGAGACAGAGCAGCCCTGTAACTTTATTTCCATGTCTATATGGATTAAATAAATAATATAGAACATCTAACATATAATATATAATATATAATATATAATATATAATATATAATATATAATATATAATATATAATATATAATATATAATATGTAATATATATAAACATGCATATTATATATGAAAACATGGATATATATATTTATATATAATATATTTTGATATGTTAATATGTATTTTCGTATATTCATATATTTCATAATATAGGTTTTCATTCTTAAATTAATCCACAAACACCAGGGGTTGATGTCCAAAAAGGTGACAGAGCAATCCTGTGACTTTGTTCCAATAAAGGGGCTCTGGAGAGAAAAGCAGCCCAGATCCAACCAGGTTTTCATACTTAAATTCTTCCACAATCATAAATGGGGTTTATGTCCAAAAAGGTGAAAGAGCAGTCCTGTAACTTTATTTCCATGTCTAGATGGATTAAATAAATAATATATAATATATAATATGTATATTTATATATTATATATATACATGGATATTATATATGAAAACATAGATATATAATTTATCTATAACATATAATATATAATTTAGCTATAATATATAATATATAATATATAATGTATATTTTATAAAATATATATCCATTTTTATATATTACATATATATTTATATATGCTAATACATGTTTATATCCATAAACATATTAAATATATCCATGAAGTGGATATATTTAATGAAGGGCCTTCAGGTACTGTCATGAGTTTTTCACACAATTACAAGTTTGGTCTATTTGCACATATCAGGGGTTAATTGTCCAATTAGAGCTTCATGTCATGAGATCATATTCNTCTGAGCACCCACTGGTTTGTCCACAGCCTCCCAAAACCTCACTTCCTTATCAAACCAGGACACTGGGACACACTTGTGAGGCTCTCCCAGTGCTGCCAACCGTGGGGTTGTGCCCACATTGGCCTTGGAAGGGCTTTTTTTGTTGCCTTTGTCATTAATTTCTCCCTTTCCTGGTGTTTTTTCCCTGCCTGGGAGACACTGGTGAAATTGTCCCACTGCTGCCAACCCTAGAGCTGTGCTCAGATTTGCTTTGGAAGGGCTTTTTTGCTGCCTTTCTCATTAATTTCTTCCTTTCCTGGTGTTTTGCCGTGCCTGGGAGACACTGGTGAGGTTTTTCCTCTGCCTTTCTCTTGAATTTCCCCCTTTCCTGGTGGTTTTCCATGCCTGGTGAAGCTTTCCTGCTGCTGGCAGCCTTGGGGTTGTGCCCACATTGGCTTTGGAAGGGCTTTTCTTCTGCCTTTCTCATGATTTTCTCCCTTTCCTGATGTTTTTTCCCTGCCTGGGAGACACTGATGAGGCTTTTCTGCTGCCTTTCTCTTGAATTTCCCCCTTTCCTGGTGGTTTTCCATGTTTGGTGAGGCTCTCCCATTGCTGCCAATCCCAGGGCTGTGCCCACGTTGGCTTTGGAAAGGCTTTTCTGCTGCTTTTCTCATGATTTTCTCCCTTTCCTGATGTTTTTTCCCTGCCTGGGAGACACTAGTGAGGCTTTTCTGCTGCCTTTCTCTTGAATTTCCCCCTTTCCTGGAGGTTTTCCATGCCTGGTGATGCTGTCCCACTGCTGTTAACCCCGGGGATCTGCTCACACTGACTTTGGAAGGGTTTTCTGCTGCTTTTCTCATGATTTTCTCCCTTTCCTGGTGTTTTTTCCCTGCCTGGGAGACACTGGTGAGATTGTCCCACTGCTGCCAACCCTGGAGCTGTGCTCAGATTGGCTTTGGAAGGGCTTTTTTTTGCTGCCTTTCTCATTAATTTCTCCCTTTCCTGGTGGTTTTCCCTGCCTGGGAGACACTGCTGAGATTGTCCCACTGCTGTTAACCTCAGGGCTGTGCTCACATCATTCCTGCTGCCTTTGTCTTGAATTTCTGTCTTTCCTGGTGTTTTTCCCTGCCTGGTGAGGCTCTCCCACTGCTGCCAATCCCAGGGCTCACATTGGCTTTGGAAGGGCTCTTCTGCTGCCTTATTCATGAATTTCTCCCTTTCCTGGTGGTTTTCCCTGCCTGGGGGACACTGCTGAGATTGTCCCACTGCTGTTAACCTCAGGGCTGTGCTCACATTGGCTTTGGAAGGATCATTCCTGCTGCCTTTGTCTTGAATTTCTGCCTTCCCTGGTGTTTTTCCCTGCCTGGTGAGGCTCTCCCACTGCTGCCAGCCCTGGGGCTCTGCTCCNTCCCAAAACCTCACTTCCTTATCAAACCAGGACACTGGGACACACTTGTGAGGCTCTCCCAGTGCTACCAACCATGGGGTTGTGCCCACATTGGCTTTGGAAGGGCTCTTCTGCTGCCTTATTCATGATTTTCTCCCTTTCCTGGTGGTTTTCCCTGCCTGGGAGACGCTGCTGAGATTGTCCCACTGCTGTTAACCTCAGGGCTGTGCTCACATCATTCCTGCTGCCTTTGTCTTGAATTTCTGCCTTTCCTGGTGTTTTTCCCTGCCTGGTGAGGCTCTCCCACTGCTGCCAACCCTAGGGCTCTGCTCCATAGGCAGCAGGACCAGCCCTTCCAAAGCCATTCTCATGATTTTCTCTCTTTTGGTGTTTTTCCATGCCTGGTGAGGCTCTCCCATTGCTGACAACCCTCGGGCTCACGTTGGCTTTGGAAGGGCTCTTCTGCTGCCTTATTCATGATTTTCTCCCTTTCCTGGTGATTTTCCCTGCCTGGGAGACGCTGCTGAGATTGTCCCACTGCCGTTAACCTCAGGGCTGTGCTCACATTGGCTTTGGAAGGATCGTTCCTGCTGCCTTTGTCTTGAATTTCTGCCTTTCCTGGTGTTTTTTCCCTGCCTGGGAGACACTGGTGAGATTGTCCCACTGCTGCCAACCCTGGAGCTGTGCTCAGATTTGCTTTGGAAGGGCTTTTTTGCTGCCTTTCTCATTAATTTCTCCCTTTCCTGGTGTTTTTCCCTGCCTGGGAGACACTGGTGAGATTGTCCCACTGCTGTTAACCTCAGGGCTGTGCTCACATCATTCCTGCTGCCTTTGTCTTGAATTTCTGCCTTCCCTGGTGTTTTTCCCTGCCTGGTGAGGCTCTCCCACTGCTGCCAACCCCGGGGCTCTGCTCCATAGGCAGCAGGAACATCCCTTCCAAAGCCATTCTCATGATTTTCTCTCTTTTGGCGTTTTTCCGTGTTTGGTGAGGCTCTCCCATTGCTGCCAATCCCAAGGCTGTGCTCACATTGGCTTTGGAAGGGCTCTTCTGCTGCTTTTCTCATGATTTTCTCCCTTTCCTGGTGTTTTTCCCTGCCTGTTTTTCTCTGCTTTTTAACCCCGTGTGTTCTCAGAGGTGTANTGTCATGAGTTTTTCACACAATTACAAGTTTGGTCTATTTGCACATATCAGGGGTTAATTGTCCAATTAGAGCTTCATGTCATGAGATCATATTCCCCAGTTCACTTTTATTTGTGCTTTTTGGGGCCTGAGGCTGTTGGGTATCCTTGAATTTCATGCCCAGAGGAATTCTTTTTTCTGACCAAAATGTGAAGAGTTTATATGGAGTTTATATGGAGTTTATGTGGGGTTTAGACTCATGCACTGATGCAGCTCACGATCTGAAAAACACAAAGGCAAAACTCTGAAGGTATCGGTGGCATCTTGTGGTTTTCTGCTCCTTTCTGACCACGTGCTGTCCTCCCCCAGATTACTCATGTGCCCTCCAGAGGGACATTCTCCTGCAGGGCCGCCTCTACCTCTCCGAGAACTGGATCTGCTTCTACAGCAACATCTTCCGCTGGGAGACACTGGTGAGGCTCCTCTGCTGCCTTTGCCATCAATTTCTCCTTTCCTGGTCTTGTTCCCTGCCTGGTGAGGCTCTCCCACTGAGGGCTGTGCCAACATTGGCTTTGGAAGGGCTGTTCTTGCTGCTTTGCTCACAAATTTCCCCCTTTCCTCGTGTTTTTCCATGCCTGGTGAGGCTCTCCCATTGCTGCCAACCCTCGGGCTCACATTGGCTTTGGAAGGGCTCTTCTGCTGCCTTTGTCATTAATTTCTCCCTTTCCTGGTGGTTTTCCCTGCCTGGGAGACACTGCTGAGATTGCCCCACTGCTGTTAACCTCAGGGCTGTGCTCACGTTGGCTTTGGAAGGGCTCTTCTGCTGCCTTTGTCTTGAATTTCTGCCTTTCCTGGTGTTTTTCCCTGCCTGGTGAGGCTCTCCCACTGCTGCCAACCCTGGGGCTCTGCTCCATAGGCAGCAGGAACAGCCCTTTCAAAGCCATTCTCATGATTTTCTCTCTTTTGGTGTTTTTCCATGCCTGGTGAGGCTCTCCCATTGCTGCCAACCCTCGGGCTCACGTTGGCTTTGGAAGGGCTTTTCTGCTGCTTTTCTCATTAATTTCTCCCTTTCCTGCTGTTTTTCCCTGCCTGGGAGACACTGATGAGGTTTTTCGTTCTCTTGAATTTCCCCCTT